GCCGAGGACTTGAGTTGTACGCCACAAGATAGCTTGATATGTGGCCGAGAGCCTATTGATTATGCCATGAGATGGCTTGATATTGCGCTTGGGCCGTAAGGGACCCCTCCCGGAGCCTGTACACCCCCAGTGAGCGCGGGTACCCAGTGTGATATGTGATATGTTGTTGCCCGAGGGGCTGGTGTTGTTCCATGTTGTTGCCCGAGGGGCTGATTCTATTGATATGGTGCTCCAGGGGCTGATTTTACGTGCTTATCTTTCTCGCTGCTTTTCATTTACTTGTTTAACTGTTAAAATGTGTTTTAAAGGAGCTTATACTGAACTAAGGTATTTTTATAAGATTTCTCTATTTTATTGCCTTTTTATTGGTTTTACACTGCCTTTTTATAGCATATTGTTGTGCTTTACGTGATTTCTTATCGCCCAGTCTTCATTTATTGTTATTACTCACTGAGTTGGAGCACTCACTTTACTCCTTGTACCCTGTTTGCAGACTCAGGAGCTTCAGGTCCCGTCAGTGAGGGTTGATTGCTCCCAACAGGCCATTTGGAGTCCACTAGGTAGCTGCTCGGCATTTGCAGCCCAATATTTCTCCCTCTTATCTTACTTTTTGATTCTAGTTCTGTGATAGACTGTATAGACTCTTTCAGAATCTTAGATACATGTTTAGATGCTCATGACTGGTGACACCTCGATGTCGGGCTGTTTTTGTTCCGCAAATTTACTGTTTCACTATTTCTTTTGGGATTTAATCATGTTGATTATTTTAATTGTTTAAAATGAATTGGGTGTTGTGTCAGCTAGACTTGTATTAACGAGAGGCCCCATCACGACTGGGTCTAGGTTTAGGGTCGTGACATGGAGTTGATCTTTTAGTTGTCTGAAAATGTCGAATCCAATAATAAGATCTTTTCCTAGTACATCAGACCCTATCAGCTTGGTTTCATACTTCAATCCTAGAAAGAACTCAATTGTGACCGGGTGCTTTGTGATGACGGTGGTAGTCAAAATTCCATTTGATGTAGTGTTAAAATCCTTAACGTGCGGCACCCATTGATCTTGGAGAGCAACATGATTCATGAGTGAACAAGCAGCTCTAATGTCAATGAAAGCAATGACTCGAGTTGGTTTATCCCAATTGGATGGATAATCCTTGAGGTCTTTTTGGGGGATGACTATGAGAGTGTTGATCTCTTCCTGGTCTTTAGCTGCTGGTTCTGAAATTTAGTAGTGGTCATCACCATGATCTCCGTATATATCAAGAGAGAATAAAGTTTCTTCAGGGGGTTCATCATCCATAGAGAATGTGGACTCAAGGTCTTCTTCGTCTCCGAGATGTATGCCAGTGTAATCTTCAATTTCTTCAAAGAGTTTGAAAGATTTCCTCGATTGGGAACAATTTCTTGAAAAATGTCCGATCTTGTGGCAAATATAGCATCTACTCTTTTTATGAAAATTTCCTGGCCTCCTTCTTCTGAAATATTTTGTGTGCCTCTTGGACCTTGATTTTCCATCTGGAATTCTTGGCCATCTCAACCTCCTGAATCCTTTTCGCCGTCTAGATGTGTGGTAGGAACATCCTGATCTGGTGATCAGATCGGATCTGCGACATGCTTTATCATGAGTTGGATTATGTTGGATAATTTGTTTTAGGGTTGAGCGCTTCGTTCGAATGTCCTCGAATGCAACGAAAATAGATTACTTGATGTAGCCGACTTGTGGGATTGTTATTGATTGAAACTTTTCTTCAATGATTGTCCTGGTTCAGCTCGCCATCAACTTTGGAAGGGGAGAGACAAAGGCTTGTTTCAGGTTGATGTCTCTGCCGATTTCAAAGTATATCTTGCCATTTTTAAAAAATGCTTGTCAATGTTATTTATGTCGAATGATGCACACTTCATTTCGAAGAGTTTTCTTTGCTTTTTCTCTTGTCTTTGGCCAGTATCTCCACAGAAAACTTCATGTAGGTTCTTATGTTGAAGGCAAAATCTCGGAAGTAAGAAAAGTATTTTTGTCTTGAATCCCAAGTGAATTCCACCAATCTCTAAGGATTCCTAAGAACCATGAAGTTAGTTCTGATAGGATGATATACTTTTCTCGTTCCTCCAAAATTTTGGTCACCATCCAAGTATAGAAGTCTTGGATCCCTTGAGGCCATTTTGAAACTTTGATGTCATCTAAGGTGAACGTGTGGAAGCTAGTTCTTACTGGTTTTGACGCCACGGTCTCTTGTCTTCTTTCTGGGATTGGTTCATCCGTCATGCATTCTTGATCCTCATCTACTTCAGATATTTATGTGTCTCTTGGCTGGTTCGCAAATATTGGGGGAACGTCTTCTTCGGAAGAGTTTGTTGTGGATTCATTATTTGATAAGAGCTATCTTCCGTTGTATCATCGTCTGATAAATTTAGAGATTCCGACCATGTGGTATCTTCTTCTAATTTGTTTCTTGGCTGGGAGACATAGAGGTTTGGAGCCTTTGATCAGAAATCATTAGGTCTTCGGGGTTGGATCCTTTTGAACTTTCACCATGATCTCGCCTTTTCTTGGTTTGTTTCTGGGCCGCAAGTTCATATTTCCTTTCCCAAACCATCTTTGCAATATCAAATTCATGTTCTTCTTTTAAGGGTTGGGTGAAAGAAATAAAATTTTTTAAGGTAGTAGGAAAGTTAGAAAAGTTGTAGTCCAATTTAGGTGGGGAATATATTTGGGGTGACATCGGGAAGAAGACAGGTTTTGAAGGGAAAACTTGGGTCTTTTATGACTCAAAGTGGTCATTTCTCAAAAGTTGAATCTGTTCTCTGATGGAAATCATCTCCTTTTGTATTTGTTGGAAGAATTGGAAAAGTGAAGTTCCTGGCGGACAAATCTCATATTGTAAATTTGCCAACCTTAGTTCCAAGGCTTTGATTAGTCCTGCATGGTAAGACGATGTCTGCTCCGCCTTTTTCTCAGTTGTTTCCACTTTGCTCATCATATTATTTTGTTTATGGGCCACGTTTTTTAAGGTGTTGCCAATGTTGTTCAGCACTTTGTTTTGGCAGATGGAATTTTCTAATTGCCAGTTCATTGTTGCCTCAATATCACTCATTGGGAGTTTTTCCCATTAGGTAGGCTATATTTTCTTGGGATTTTTTGGAGCAAGGCTTATACCCTCTTTTTCAAAAGGTTGAAGTGAAAGAAAATCTTGGGTATGACTGGATCTTGAAGGGCTTAGCATGAATATATGTGGTTGTGTGGGATTTGAGGGTTTTTTGAGTTGGTGAAGTTTTAAGTTTATGTGGCTTTTCCGATTCTGGGGTATGAGCTGATGTGTGTTGTTTTACTATTTTCCTAGCTCGAAATGAATTTTTCTGGTAATTTTGGCCATTCATGAGATTTGTAACTGACAAGAAATTCATATTTACCTCGACGACTTAATGAGCCAATTGAAGTATCTTTATGTTCATATTTGGCTTGAAATTGCTTTTTAGTACTTTTCCCTTTCTTCTTAGTTTCATGTTGGTTTTGTTGAGGCCAAATCTTTCCCAATGATGCAGGTGGTGTTCATCATATTCTCCAATTGGGTCTTCCAAATAGTCGTGGCAGTCGCAACTAAGATCCCATGGATAGTGTCCCATGAAGGGGAATTTGAACCACCAAACTCTTTTACCCTTTTTGTTGAAATGTTGACACCAGTCATGTTCTTCCATGATGCCTTGTATATCCCAGAAGGGTTCTCTATCAGGGTCAGAGTATGTATCTGTTATATCTTTGGGTTGAATCATTTGGCAAGAAAAGATGTTTTTACTGGATTTTTTTGAGATGGGAATGGTCAAAGCTTATGGAAACAATTTTGTCATTTCTTTTGGTAAAAGACGGCTCACTAGATTGCAGAGATTCTTTTGGTTAACTTAACTTTTCATAATTTATGATCCAGGTATCAGGAAGAATTTTAACAAGTTCATCTCTAGAAATTTGTCTAGGTATTAGGGTGCACATGGTGTTTCCTTTGATATCATCAATATTCAAGAGAAAAGCATTTTCTCCTCCGGGAAGACAGAGATCCATGGCATGATTTTGGACTGTCCATGCCATTTGGTGATGAAGAGTGGCTTCGATAGCATCTTTGGCTTGTAGGGCTCCTTGGATTTGGACTTGGATTTTTAATGCTTGAGTTTAGTATGGATAATAAAAGGACATGTTGAAATTTGGAAAGATAGTCATGAAGACAGTCCCGACATTTAGGGTAAATTTAGCAATACCCAAATTTGCATGTTGGTACTCCAAGTATCTTGTATCTAGAAAAGAAAGATGAGCAACAACAGGTTGACCTTTTCTTCCGTGATATATTAAAACAATTCGGATAGCACCAGAATGGATATGTGTAAAACCATGATTTCTCCATTATCTAGGAAAATTATCCGAGATTTGAAGGGTGATAAATGGTTCTTCTCGAGTGGAAAGAATAGGATGCTGGTCAAGTTTTAAGGCAGCAACATATTCTATGAATCCTTTTGGCCTGTGTTGGACTACGGATCGAATTTGTGTCCATGGTGCAAATGATATTTTGGAAAAATTCGAGTAAGGTTTTATGAGGGGTAGTTTAGTTGAGGATACTTTCTGTTCGTCGGGTAGGATATCTACTTCGTATAGGTAATCATATTTTTGGACAAGGTTTTATATAGAGTAGGAGACATAATTTATTTTTGCAAGGGAAGAGGATGATGAAAATGACTTAGACATATTTAGTAAACTGTTCCTCCCTCCTACATTCATGTTTCTCTTCTTGGTGTTAGCTAAATTGTTATCACTTTAGTTCGCATTAGTTGAATCATACTACAAGTGTGTCTGTAGTTACTTGTTTTCTTCTAGTTTGGTTTGCTGCCTATTTTGTGCTAGTGAGTCTTCCTTATCTTGTTGTAGGTATAGTGGATGTAGTCTGGGATGGTATTGTAAAGGCATGTTCTCGGTTGGGGCAGGGGGTGGATTGAGAAGTGGGGCGGGGCTCAAGGGGTGGGATGGGAGGCGAGAGAGGTAAGGGGAACAAGGGAGCCTATAGGTTGAGAATTGGGTCATGGAAAATAAGAATACTGACGAGTAAGTCTATAGAGTTGGCGAGGATCCTTCTGAAGAGGAAGGTTAACATAGCATGTGTACAGGAGACTAGGTGGGTAGGTTCAAGGCCGAGGGATGCGAATGGGTATAAGCTGTGGTACTATAGAGTCTTGAAGTGTAAGAATGGAGTGGGTATCTTGGTAGATAGGGATCTTAGAGAGTCTGTGGTAGAGGTTAAGCTGGTGAATGATAGATTAATGACTATTAAGTTAGTGGTTGGTGAGTGTACCCTAAATGTCGTTAGTGCTTACGCGCAACAAGTAGGCTTGGACGAGGATGTTAAAACACACTTCTGGGAGGGGTTGGATGAGATTGTGCATAATATTCCGCTTGCCGAGAGGTTATTCATAGGAGGAGATTTTAATGGACATATTGGATCATTTGTAGGTGGCTATAGTGAGGTGCATGACAGCTTTGGTTTCGGGGAGCAAAACAGAGGGGGTGTTTCATTATTGGATTTCGCCAAGGCGTTTGAGTTGGTGATTGCGAACTCGAGTTTTCCAAAGAGGGAGGAGAATTTGGTTACTTTCCAAAGTACGGTGGCGAAGACTCAAATTGACTACCTCCTCCTTAGGAGATGAGACAGAGGGTTGTGCAAGGATTGAGAGGTTCTCTCAGGTGAGATCCTCGCGACGCAACATAGGATTTTGGTGATGGACATTGGAATTATGATAAGGAGGAAGAAGAGGTATGTGTGAGGATCTTCGAGGATGAGGTGGGGTGTCTAGACTAAGGATAAAGATGCGTGCTTGCATAATGTTCTGGAGTCATAGCATTTTTGTAGGATTTGAACAAGTGCAATCTCATCCATTTCTCATTTTTATCGCATTCTTCCTTTACCATTCCATAGTTACTAGAACCGCTTAATTCTGACTTAATTCCACATTACTCTATATTCTCCCTTTTTGGGGGAGTACTATGATTTAATGCTATGATGATCTATGTATAGATGTTTTATCTCTTCATCTTTGGAGTCTTTTCACATCATCGATGACCCTTACTCGCCTCGCGATAATCCTTCTGTACGAAGGATAATAAATTTCCTTATTCGCGAGGGTGACACTCAGTATAACTAGCACATATAGTCCCTTAAGCTGAACTTTGCTCACATTACTTGCTTTAGGGAGGCGTCTTCCTAAATGATCATTCTCTGAATTTCTCATGAATCTTCTTCTCTTTTCCCTTCTATTATCGCCGGAACAAAATCTAAAATTCTCACGATATCGACCATAATCAAATCATTCAGTCCCTCATTCATGTTTAATTTATCTTGTTCACCAGCCCTACTGATTTCCATTACTCTAGGGTCTAACTTTTCCTTCTAGTAGTTGCGTTAGGGGTCACAAACTTATTTCTCGAAATGGGGATATGACTTTATGGCCTATACTTTTTTATTGTCTCAAGGCCTGTCACCTCTCGTATTTTCCTTCACTTGACTATAGACTCTGTATTACTACTATCTTTTTGATCTACCGTTGCCATCCGTTTATCATATCTTACTCACAATGTTTCATTAACTCTCTTCTTATTTCCCACTAATCATTTATGTCTATCACTTTATTCTGAAAACATCAACAAGACATTCTCTTTTAGCTCCCCTTACTCCATCCACTAGCTCTTTGGGTTGTTTATCTTTATAATTTTTTTTGAACACTCTAGTATTCATGTTTAGCTGTAATGTTCTAGAGTGAACCATCTGGGTGTCTCGTGCCCTTCTTCACCTTGCTTCTTTTACTTGTTGAAGCTTGTATCCACCTTTTGAATCTCTCGTTACTTTTTACCATATGGGTGGATAGATATTCATTCCTTAGGGCTCCTTTTCCAGAAACTCACACATCTTAGTTCACATATGATCTGCTGGAGACCTTACATTTACTCATCATAAGCATGATGCAAATTCGAGTTCCTCTAACTCAACTCTTCCATAGTCGCATTCAATCCCTTACCAACTGTCTTTCCAGATGTAGGCATCGTCGTATTATGAATAAGATAGAATTTAGGAAATTGGGTTCTTACAACTGAGCTCTACCACACGATCTAGAGTAAAAAGAAAGAATGACAGTCCTAAATGCCATATAGCCTCCTGCTTATAAGTGTGGTGCACGACATACCCATAAAGAAGACTCTACCAAACACGGCATGTAGACTCCCTAGGATAGGACTGCTCTGATACCACATTTGTCACGATCCAAACCGAAGGGTCACTCGGTGCCTTACTCAGTTGAGTACCAACGTAACATATTTTTCTTATCGTACTATCATTGGTAACAGGTCCAAATATTGCCACGACTCATAATGTATAAGTATAAGTGGGAAATCAATGTATCAATAAACTATCTTTCTTAAAACATGAATACATATGGACCGTTAAGGCCTCTAACATACTGTACAAAATGAACCTCTATCTAAAAAGCCTCTAAGAGTGTTTGAAATCGAATGGGATAAAGTATCAGCCTACCCATAAGTCTGTAGCAAAATTCTGACACATTGACTCATAGACTCGGCTACACTTCGAATGAGGTGGAGTCTTACCGATCCTTCATTGAATGTTAACCTCGTTTACTATTTGGGCTCGTCAAATTGATTGTCTATATCTGCAGGCATGAATGCAGCGTCCCCAACAAAAGAACGTCAGTACGAATAATGTACCGAGTATGTAAGGCACATAAATAAGTGTATAAAAGACATGGAAGAAACATGGAGTAAATGACTCAACCTGCAAGTCTGGATAACTTTGTAAATCATGAAATACTTATAGTGCCATGCATATGGTATGAATGTCATGTCGTGCATAGGTATATGTGTTCAGAATAACATCAAGCCTTTGAGGGCATCCAATCATATCATCTCGGCCACTGTAGGCAAAATCATCAACGTATACCAGCTGATCAGGTGGTGGTGCATATATAACGTCGTAACCTTTTCTCATATCCCATATATATATAATATACATATATATGCATATATAACACCATCTTTTCATGGGTTAATATACATGTATAAATGAATGCAATGCATGAGAAGTACGTCAATAAAATCTTTCAGAATGTCATAAGACCATTATGCCTTAGAGTAATATCATGAAGTTAACTTTATTAACTTACATATTTTCTGAGACCCATGAGCAGATGATAGAATAATAGGACACATGGGGAATTATGAACATAAGCATCTCTAGCATTTTTATGAATAGAGTCATTTATGGAAGTTATGCATTTTCTCGTTTCATTTGTATCGTATGGATCATGCCAAAATGAAAGAAGGGATAGACTTAACATACCTGAGCCTATTCTCATGACAATCCCTCTAACACGCGTCTTTTGAAAATAACACATAACGGCGGATCGAAGTAGGGGAAAATCCGTATGATATTCTTGATAAAGATTGCACTGTACTCCCTTAAGATTGCCAAATCTCACGTTGCTAAGATGCAAAGAGATGTTGTTTGAATTTTTTCCCAAGAAAATCACATTACTAAGATGCTAAGATGCAAATTTTGTTGAAGATTACATAGAATCTCCTTGTTTTGAGATTTTATCCATAACTTATTGAAGCTCATCCATAAACTTTTGCAAGCTTAGCATCACCTTAATGAGATAAAGGATCTCTTAAATTTGTTGGTTCTTATGCGACCCACTTTAGGATGACTAAGCCACTAAATTGCCACCTTGAAATGTGACTTAAAAGTCACTTCTCTGGGCTTTCACGTTAAGGGGTGATGCCCCCTTAATCTTATCCAAATGTGCTTAATTAATTCGTTAATCTCCCACTAAAAATTAATAATTACCCAATTATTCACATAATTAAGAATTATCTCAAATTATTTAAAACACTACTTACTTTTAACACACTTTATGTACCCTACTATCATGGTCATGAGGTACCTTGTATGTCATTAGTCCATAAATACCGGGTATTATAGCTCGGACTGTACTTTATCCTAAATTGTCAAACTTCGACGAAACTTATTTTCTTTGATTTCGCTGACCCTCTAACCTTTACAAATTTACTTATCACTTATTTGAAATAGCGTAGTACGTATAATCTCAAATAATCTCATTGTCGAGCTTACGTCGATTATCTAACGATGAAACTTTAATGTACAAAAATACGGGATGTAATATCTTATTTCTGAACTTATATCAATTTACTTATGGTGTAATTCCACGTACAAAAATATGGGGTGTAACAATGGCAGACATACTTTCATGAAATTCTGAATGAAGAAGAGGATCTAGTTATCGGATAAAAAATGGGACGTAGGAGATCGCTGAACTAGGAGCCTTCTAGTGTGATTGCACATGCGAGTGTCTTGGTCGCAGGTGCGATGCCGCAGATGTGGCTGGTATTGCACAGGTGTAAAGATGGGCTGGCCAGGGGTAGGACGCAGGTGCGAGGGGTAATCCTCATTTGCGATCCCGCAATTGCGAGCAAGGCTCCCCAGATGCGGAGAAGAGGGGAGTAGGTTGTTTTAGCAGAAGCGGAACATGTTCTGTATAAGTGCTTCCGTAGGCAGAACCTGGAGCGCAGGTGCGGTCCCTAGGGATTTAAGTGACTTCTATAGAAGCGGAGGATTTTTCGCATAAGGGGTTCCGCAGGTGCGGATATTTGGTCGTGGCGCGAGAAGGCCAAGGGAGTATATTAAAATGAGGGTTTTGAGACTTTTGCCATTTTTAGCATTTCAAGCTCGGGATTAGGCGATTTGTTTAGAGGATATTTTAAGGGTTTCTTGAGGTAAGTCATTTTGCTCACTTTTATTCGATAATCTTGTTTTTCTTATTGAATTTCTCACCTAGTGTGTGAGTATTTAAGGTGGAATTTGGGAGTTTGAGAATAGGATTTATAGAGTTTAATTTGGGGATTTGAGTGATAATTTGGTGTCGAATTTTGGTAAAGTTGGTATGGTTGGACTCGTGGTTGATTGGGCTTTCGGATTTTGTGACTTTTATCGAATTTCGAGATGTGACCCCGAAGGTCAACTCTTGAGTTAACTTTTTGACTTTTGATTAAGAACTTAGTATTTTCTTAGGGAATTGATTCATTTAGCTTGTATTGATTGTATCATACTGCTTGTAGCTAAATTTGAGGCATTCGGAGGTCATTTCGCATGGCAAGGGCTTGTCGGAGTAGGGATTTGCACAGTTTGAGATAAGTAACACTTCTAAACCTTGTTTTGAGGGTATAAAACCCTAAATTACGTACTATATGACAAATGTTGAGGTAATGCGCATGCTAAGTGACGGGCATGCACCGTAGAAGTTGTGATTTAGTCATTCCCTACGGTTGCGTATTATCTAAACATTCTTGTTTTATTCTATGTGTTAGAATATGTGAGTTGTGCTTCATGTTAGGAATCATGTTGGTACTGTTGGGACCCATAGTGGGTGTTCCATGCTGTTGACTTATTAATTAAATTGAAATTTTGTACTCAGTCATATTTATTCATTTCATATCATATCTCAGTCTTTGTTGTTGTTTATTGATACATCATATCATCATTTTGGGATACTTTTATGACATTGTGAGCCCGAGAGATTGGAGAGATTGATGACTGAGTGAGGCCGAGTGCCTGATTGTGGGTGATATTTATGGGATCGGGTACACACCGCATCATGCTTTATCGATTTATGACTGGATCTGGCTTATAGCACTTGGGCTGAAGGATCCCCTCCGAAGTCTGTACACATCTAGTGAGCTCAGTTGATTTATATTGAGGAATGGATCTTGCCCGAATCGTTTACATTTGAGGATGGATTTTCCCAGGGCTGCATAGGCCTTATATAGTACTGAGTGACTGACTGTCAGTTGATGTGTATATATATTTGAGATGGATCTTCCTAGGGCTGGATTGGCCATATGCAGTATAGGGTGATTGAGTATTCTGAGAGTGTGAGTACAAGAGGCTTTTAGCGTGGTGCATCACATACAGCATCTGCATTGGCATGTAGATGTAGAGAGGTTGTATTTCTCATATCATTCAGAATTGATCTGTCTTACTCGTATTGTGTTTAACTATTGAACTTGAAAGCATGCCTACATTTCTATACTATTATTTCTATATTGAACTGTAGCTGCTGAGTTCATCACTACTTTCAGTCCAAAGGTTAGATTTGTTACTTATTGAGTTGGTTGTACTCACGCTACACCCTGCACCTTGTGTGCAAATTCAGGTGCTTCCGGTTATGGAGGTTGCTGAGTTGCGGAGTCCGGAACTTCGGAGATCATCGAGGTAGTTGTTTGGCGTTCGCAGAACTTGACTCTCCACCCTTATCTTTCATTTTAAGTTTCAGTTTTATTTCCTCGACGATGTACTAGACTATATCTTTATGTAGATGCTCATGTAATCGTTGATGCCCCGGTTTTGGGAGAGATTCTTGTATTGAGTTATGACTTCTTATTCTGTTTTTAAATGATTTTCATTAAATTAAATTGTATAAGTATCTTTCAAAACTTTAGAGTGTTGGAAATGTCTGAGTAGTTGGCTTGCCTAGTACTATGATAGATGCCATCATGATGGGTTGGTTTTGGGTCGTGACAACTGATCATTTCCTTCTAACATGACATCTTCCCATTTCATATTTGAAACATTTTTTTGTTAATATCATCATACATAAGATGAAATCTAATGAATCAACGTGAACATGCACATGATTCCTCGTAAAAGTCAGAAAATACTAAGCACAAATGTCCAATAAGATCTGCCATCTCTCCCAAAAAACACATTTTTATTCATGTATAATTTCTCATTTCTCCTAGTACTAAACTTTTGCTCACTTTATTATGCATTTTTCTGCACGTAGGAAACAACTTTTTTTTAATTTCCTAACGTTTAATTCCCTCCCACTCCAAGATAGGATTTTGCAATTTGGCCATCTGCTCCTTTTGGGTAAAATCCTCCTGGTTTATTCTCATTTCCACTTCCGTATACTATTCGCAGTATCTCCTCTGGCGTTCTATCATAGGAAAGCGAGTATTTATCTCCTGCTAATATATTTTCTCGTATCTTCCCTTCAGCACCTACTGTTGGTTTCACTTTGAGTCCTTCATTTTTCAATCCATGGCGTCCTAGCTTGTTTCTCAGCTCTGATATACTGTTTGTAAACTCTATTGCCGTTATCCCGTAGGGTTCCACGTTCTCTCTTCCATGCTCATAAAGTAATGCTCTCAGAACTGCATCTTGACCTGATTCTACTCCAAGTAGCCCGACTAGTAGCTGCAGATTTTGATTTTTGTATCAGAAGTATTACAGTTCATCAATTCGAAATATAATGAAAATACTTCATGCATGCATTTTATTTTATGAGATGATATTTGGCTGGACATGAAGTTTCAGATAATTTCTATTATAATTATATTGGTCATGTTAGTTTGGCGCATTTCTACAATTCTATCATATACTTATTATTTTTCACCAGCGTAAGTACTAGATAACTTTGTCTACAAGGCTAATGCAGACGGAAAATTTAAGATATAAAATTAACTAGTGAATTATACTTATGATTCTGAGCCGACTATAATAATAATAGTTTAACTTCTATCGGCAACAATGCGAATCTTATTTATATATACAATTAAGTTATCAAAATGATAACTACAACAATTGTCCATAAAAGAAGATGATTGTAACCCAAAATATAAGGTAGATTACATGTTACAATAATTATGACTAACCAACAATTGTAACTAATTTATAATCTAAACATTCTTTAAATGATATAGCCAGTATATATAAGTTAGCTTATTAAACTAATGATTGAAAAATTAGATTTAAAAAGGCAATGGCATTGCAAGTAGCTAAAATTTCAATTCTTGAAAATTGTATAGATTTAAAATGATGGTCAAACGTTTTGCAACTTTCTAAAATTGAAATAATGCATGTCATGCATGTAAATTGGAACAAAGATAATAATATTATCTTAAAAGTTGTGATAGTTCAGAGAGTAATTTGATTTAACTACCCTTTTGACAGTAGGGCTGTGGAGTTTAGGATTGGCTCCAACATATCCAGTAAGTCCAAGATAAGGGATAACATACGAAGCAAGGAGATAATTAATGTCATTAGCGTAAGGATTAAAAGGTGGTTCTAATTGATGTCCAAATGCATCGTTCATAACTGTAGCAAATGCTTCTCTGCTTTGATTTAGCAATGGCCTTGGAAATCCTGCTACTGTATTCTTGATTGCCCTGCAATATCAATTTTATCGAACTTTTAAATTTGGATATATAGACGCTATATATTAAATTAAGAGGGTGTTTGGATTGGTTTTTAACCCGAACAAATAACCTTTTAAGATTTTCTTAGCTTTTTTCATGTTTGATAAAGTTAAGAAGAGTTTAAAATATATTAAAAACTGCTTAAAACAAGTCAAAAGCAATAAGGTGGCAACCCCAACTTATTGCATTTTGGGCTAAAACCTATTTCTGCTGAAAAGCCTTTTTTTAAACCAATCCAAACAAGCTCTAAATCAACTACTGAAGAAGAGGTGTAGGTCTCTCACTACTAGAAATTCGCTAATTTGCGACCAGGAAAAGTGACCAAAGTTGGTCGCTATTGGCCAAAAAGCAACCAAAAAGCGACCGAACAGGTCTGGTCGATATTAAGCTGGTTCCTTTACCTTAGGGACCAAAGTTGGTCGCCAATTAGCGACCAACTTTGGTGTCTAAGGTAAAAGGACCAAATATTCCGGTAAAGAAAAAAGCGACCAACTTTGGTCTCCTTATTATTTTAATAATATAAATTTGACGACCAAAGTTAGTCTCCACAGGTAAATTACGTTTATTTATTTATTATTAATCAAAAAAAGCGACCAACTTTGGTCTAAAAAGAAAATAATATTTTTTAAAATCTGGATATTAGAGACCAAAGTTGGTCGCTTTAGTATTAATATTTTTAATTTTTTTTTAAAAATAAGCGACCAAAGTTGGTCGCAAAATACAAGAATTAATTATTTTTTAATTGTAGGCGACCAACGTTGTTCGCTATATTTCCAGAAATTATTTTTTTAAAATGGAATAGCGACCAACTTTGGTCGCTTTTTGAGAAATCTGGGTTCAATAGCGACCAAGGTTGGTCGCCATTTACCAGAAATTTGTTTTTTTCCAGGGAAAAGCAACCAACTAGCGACCAAAATTGGTCGCTTTTCTTGGTATATTTTTGGCAGAAAATGCCTGTATTGGCAGCTACACCACCTGCCAGCTTACCAAAAATCCTAAATTGTATTTTATGCCAACAACAACAACAACAACAATAAATAACAACAACAACAACAACAACATTAAAACTAACAAACTATAAAGTTCAATAGAAGTAACACATTAAGCTAACCAAACTAAGTTAATTGTTATTACAAGTCCATTCGAAAACCGAATGTATTTGTCTAGTTGAAAGTGTATAAAAGTCAAGAATTGTTTTGTACATCATTATCATCATCGTCTGATGAACTTTCACCAAGACAGTATCCAGAAGGGTGTACTTGTCTAGGATGGGAAGAACAATCATAGGGAGGACGGGAGGAATGAGCATGGGGAAGGCGAGCCTCTGGCGATGAGTCACGAGACTGGGGAATCGGAAAACTGCCAGAAGCTAGGAGAGATTTGATCTGCTCTTGCATGCCAATGTACTGAGCATCTCTAATCTTTTCTCTCTCCTTGGCGGCTTCTAGCTCGGATGTGAGCTTTGTCACATTCTCCCGCATAGAGGAGAGGCTCTCCCCATCAAGTTGCTCGGCTTGCGAGGAAGTCCCTATTCCTTGCATTCCACACTTATAGAGATGGAATTTCTTAGTAGGAAGCCCGTATACCTTCCCCCATTTTGGACCCCCAGTAGCCTGCATCCAGATTCTTTCAGCATCCTCGTCCGAAGGTTGGATTGGGTCGCCCGACTCACTAGGTGGCTGACTGTGTATGAATTCCTCCACTTCAG